CATGTTTGTTCCTTCTAGCAGGAACAGAAGGTAGCAGGCCAACCTCAGAGTGGAAAGAGTCCTGCCTCTCAAGTCATAGCTGGGAGGTGGCTATTTCTCCTGTGGGTGTGAGGGGGGAGGAAAGCAGGGAATGAAATCTATTCTTGAAACCACTTCTCCAGAGCAAAAAGAAAAAAGACAAGAAATCTCAAAGTTGGAGTGGTGCATCTCACTCTACAATGATCAAAGAACACAAATGGGTTTTCAAAGAAACAGGTTGTTTCTTGTTACAAGGGATGGCAGAGAAATCTAGTTCAAAAGGGATAAGTTAAAAGTTAAAACTGCTTTGAGACATTTACACCCTTTAAATCGCAAACCTAAACAAAAGCAGCAAAATACAATGGTGGTAAGGTTGAGAAACAGTTGATTTGCTGGTACAAATTTGTAAATTTTTCTGGAGAGAAGTCTAGTATATACTACCTGAAAGTGTCAAAAATAACAACAAAATATCTGTGTTTACTGTTTATTTTTTCCACTTAATAGTATTTTCCCCCCCAATTACATGTAAAGATACATTCACTTTTGTAAGACTTTGAGTTCCAAATTTTTTTTTATCCCTTCTTCCCACCCCCCACCCCCCAAGATGGCAAGCAATCTGATACAGGCATGTACAGTCATATTAAACATATTTCCACATTAGTCATGTTGTGAAATCAGAACAAAAGGGAAAAACCACGAGAAAGAAAAAATAGTATGCTTCAATCTGCATTTCAGACTCCATAGTTTGGAATTGTTTTAGTTCATTGTATTGCTGAGAAGAGTTAAATCTAACAAAGTTGATCATTGCACAATGTTGCTGTTACTGTGTACAATGTTCTCCTGGTTCTGTCAGCATCAATTAATGTAATGTGTTTACTGTTTAGAGTAGCAGTATGTAATTGCAAACACTGGAAACAACCTAAGTTAACATAATGGGATGCAAAATCAGAATGATCAAAATCAAAATTCAGAATAAGTTAGAGGACTACAAAGATTCGTTCCACTCTCTGGTGTGTAAGATAGAGAAGATTGGGGGGGAGGCTGTTCTGTGGAAGCTCCCTCACTTAAGGACCAAGTTCTCCACCCCCTTCTTCCCCCCCACCCATGGCTGCCCAACTGGGATTCCTTTTGCCTTGTTTTCAACCAGCCACTCATCAGAGACAGTTGGGGAGGTTATCTAAACTAGGAACAATGTTTCACCAAAAGTAGAAAAGATGTAAGGTTTCTGGCAGGGGGTGGAAGCACTTAGAGACTCATAGCTTGTAGAGGCTATGAAAACAATTTCATTTAATTGTTCCTTTTCTCTTTGCAGTCAGAAGCTTTGCAGCAACTGCAAAAGGATTCTGAGACTATCCACAACAGATACGCACATTATTTTGATCTCACGCTGGTAAATAATGGTATTGATGAGAGCCTCAAGATATTGCAAGAGGCCTTTGAGCAGGCGTGCAGTTCCCCTCAGTGGGTTCCTGTCTCCTGGGTTTACTGAGCACATTAGCTTGGTTTTCCTGATCTTGCCCCAGCACCCAACGGCAGCATGGCTTCCGTTGGTCTTCCCTTCTTCACAGTTAGTCCAGGCTTGCTGCTTCTGCTCCTCAACTTACCCACCCACCAAAGATGGGTCAATGTTTGGGACTTGGCAAAGTTGCAGTCAGACCCATCCTGCAAGAAAGACTCCCTCTCCAAGAATCACTCTGGAATCACCAGAAGTGGGGATCTAAATTACTGAATAGAAATCAACTGGAAAATCACCGGGAGCTGTAGAGAAAAAGACTGAAAACAAGTCCCAGCTCCTTCTCCTGACCCTGCACGCACAAGCCTCTCCCTCCCACTGCTGCAGCTCTGATTCAGCTCCCTTTCTGCTTCTCTCTTGTTGTCTTGTCTCCCCCCAGGGAGCACAAGCTTCATCTGGTTTGCTTCGGGGAAGGGAGTCTGTCTTAGTAGAAATGATACAAATGTTTATTCTTGTGCAATGTCTTTAAATGCCAAAAACAAAGAGAGGAAACTGATGTGCAGGGAAGCCTTAAGTAGCAATAAAAATGTTGCTGTGCAAATGCCAGTTTTGTCTCCCAGGCCTCAGTAGATGCTTTCCAAAATGTTTTTTCCTCGCCGTCATCAGTTAGGTCATAGCTCGAGTCCTGTGCCACTTGGGACTTGGGAGCATACATTCCCTTTTCCACATCTCAACCCTTGAGGCATTTGGAAGACAACAATCAACCCCTCAACTCTGTTCTAAACGTGACTTTTGGGACTTCCCAATGTCCCAACACTCCAAACCCCAATTCACCATTGCTTTTTCTTCACACTATTGGTTCCTAAAATTTGACTTCATACCCAGGCCACATTTTGCCATCTCATCCCACAATGCCAAATTCATCGCTGAATTCAAGGTCCAAACTACTAACCTTATTTTAAAAAAAAGTCTAGTTTTGCAAGTTTACCACCTGCCTGTAGCTTTCAGAAACCACTCTCTTCCCCCACACACACCTTTTTTAAAAAAAATTGTTACACTTCACTTATGGAATCTCAGCTGATGTCATTTACCTGACTCCCACCTCCAACTGCCTGTCAGACACCTCAAAACTCTATGTCCAAAACAGAAACCATTCCCCTCAACTCCCTTCAGCCTCTCTCACCCTGCCCCGCATTTCCAGGCTGTTCACACACCTGTCTTACTTTACTTTTGAAACACCTCCTGACAATTTTTACTGACACTGCAACCACTCTAGTACAGGCCCTCACTACCCCACTCCAGTCCATCCTCCTTTAGTGTGAGCCACTAAAGTGATTTTCCTAAAATGCAGGTCCCATCCTACCTTTCCAGTCTTCTTATACCTTATTCATAGACATGTACTTTGTTCCAGTGAGATCCATATAGGTAGATCTACACACAGATATATCACACTGTCCCAAAAATCTTAAGTGCAGTTAGCTTTTTAATTCTAAAAGTATGCTACAAACTTACCAAAAAATGCAAAAACTTCTTTTGCAATCATTTAATCTGCCTATGTGACAGATTACTTTCTGAGACCAGGTCCCCTTGCTTGGCTACCTCAGTCACTTCATGATCCTGTGGACCATTGAGATCTTGGCAAACATACTGGAGTGGTTTTCCATTTCCTTCTCCAGTTCACTTTACAGATTAAGAAACTATGGCAAACAGAGGCTGGATTTCAACACAAGTCTTCCTGACTCCAGGCCCAGCACTCTATTCATTGAGCCACCTTATCCCCATTTTTTCTTGTGGGGTCACATCAAAACCTTGTCTTTGGATTATCTTGAGGCCAGGACAAGTCAGTGAGTAGCAAGCAGCAGCTGAGGAAAGTTTTTACAAAGTTCAAAAACTGACTACAGTAGTTAGCACAAGATGGTTTATGTGAAACTTTAAAAAGATGTAAAATTTTAAAACTGTAAATATGTAAAATTTAAAAATGTAAACCTTTCAAAGTTTTTTTTCTTTTTGTAAGTAGCACTTACTTATTGAAGCTTAAGCAATAAGACTTTTGGACACCCCCTCTCTGTGTCATACACACCTCCAGGAATTCTGGGAATCCTCTCGACTTTAATCTTATCATCTCTAGGTGACTAACCCAGCATTCCTTAGGGAACAAAGAGTTGCCTCTCTCAGAGCACCCTGGCAGCATTTTGGAGCTATCCTTACTCTCTCCACTTCTGGACAATGGAAGGTTTCCCCTCCATCTCAGATATCCCTTAGGAATACTAAACTATCCTTGGTAACTTGGAGTGTGGAGGCATCCCTCAAGTCCCTTCTTTCAGGGAGACCAACCTACACTTGGTAAAAAGACGAGACACTTGGCTGTGGTAGAAATACAAACACTGCATACTCAACTTTGTTGTTGTCACGTGACTCTTATGACCTGGTAGACACCAGTGGGGTTTTCTTGGCAGAGATACTGGAGGGGTTTGTCATTTCCTTCTCCAGTCCACACTCAATTTGAGTCAGTGTAAAACTACTCCAGACCCCCAGTCTTGGTAAAAGGATCCTCAGTAAGCCATTGCCTTTCAAACCTCACTTTAATAGTTTCTTATTTCTTTTCTACTTGTTCTTAACTCTTTCCCTTCCTATCTTGTCTCTCCTCCTCCTTTGAGCCATTGTTCCCACTCACATTGGGGTGCACATTGCTGTTGTTCAATTATACAATATCAGTAACATATTATACATATAAACTACACACAAGTAACTTCTTTATGTACTTTTCTTTTGGCTTCCATGTCACCCCACATCCTTTGAATTTTGATTACTAATGCTTGGTAAAATATATTATTTTGAGCCTCAAGGATCCTTTGACATCTGCACTTCTAGAACTCACTTCCTCTTCTATTCTACACAGGGTGTGCCTGTGCCACAGGATTGAGAATACATGCCAACACGGCAGTTTATGCCAGTAATGACCTTTGATCATCAGATCAGAGTTTTATTCTCATTTTACATTTGAAGAAACTGAAGTCCAGAGGTTGACTCGTTTGAAATTGTGACTACAAACCATATTTCCTACTGGATCCCAGTAAACACCTAATTCCTGCCTATTTAACATCACAGATTTCAGTTGAGCAGGTGTCATTCACACCCATCCCTCTGCAGCAGATGGGGCTTCTCTTCAGCATACTCACATCTTCCCTGAACTTCACTAGTCCAACTCATTCTGCTCATGGGATTTCAGTTAGAAATCCACCGTGCACTCCTCCCCCCTTTTTAAGGGAGGAAAGAAGAAGCCCACATTCCCTGTTATGTTGCCCTCTTTTTGCCACTTTTGCAAGATCCTGCCCGTCTTAAAGTCATCTTTCTTCCTCAATATCTAGCACTGATATTGTGCTTTCCTAAGGGATATATGGCCCCATAACACCTTAAACTTTTGTCAAAGAAGCTAGTTCCTCAAAAGTCCCTGGTCAAGCCAGAACTTAGCCAGGCCTCCTGCTTCCTCCCTAATGCTTGGCCTGGATTAAAAAAAAAAAGGCAAGAATCCTTAAAAACTAATTCTTATGTTTTATTATTTTTAATAAGTAAATAAAAATTACAACTTTTTTCCTCCCCTGCATAAGATAGCCACCCACCTTCTCCCCAAACTAGTTGGGGAGGGGGGGGGGAGATGGGTGCAGAATCAGTGTGTGTGTGTGTGTGTGTGTGTGTGTGTGTGTGTACACATACATATGTGGTAAGGATGGTTCCAACTCCATCGCAACCCATCTCCAGCATCTGGGGTCTAAGGTGGCTCAGAAGATTTGGAACAGGAGGAACAAACCAAGAACCCTTTTTCCCCAAAGGCTCACCAATACACAGCATACTGTATTGAGGGAAGAAGCGCATTCCACGCCAGGAGGTGCGTTTGGAGAGAGGAAAAAGTGACTTAGCTCAGGAAGTCTGTGGAGAAGAAGCTGCTTTGGGGCCTCTTTAGACATTTAAGTTTTTTGCACGACCACAACCCGCACTACAGCTAACCCCCACTAAGCGATGGAGGCTTCTGTCCTGTGCAAAACCTAACAATGTTTTATGACAAAGGAAAACAAGGAAAAAAGACCATTTCAACACCCTCATTTCATGACATAAAATAGATAAAACACCAGCAAATTAAAAAGAACAGCTGCAGACAGCTACTAGTATATGTGGCCACCTGCTGCTCTAAATGTAAGCTATAGTACAGAATCTGCTACTCTGTCGGGCAGTTTTGCATATATTTCTCACCCATGCCCTTGCAAATATCCTTAAAACAGGACAAGATGGGATTACCCTATTCCCAAACCACAGAAGCCCGCAGTATATTCCCAGTAGCAGGGTCAATGGCATGCCACTGCCCACTCCTCCTTCGGGTACATTGTCATTTCCCAATCTGCTGTGGAGAGTTGGTATTCTTGGTTAAGGCTTCCATCATCTCCCCCAAGCTGGACACTCACTACTCAGAATCCTCTGCCATTAGTCTGGCTTTCTTCTTTTTCTTCTTCTTCTTGGTGCTCTCCGTGCCCTAAAGGGAGATCAAGAAAGTTTAGCTGGTTACACAATGAGCACCCTGCCACTCTCTCAAAGGCAATGCCCACTCACTGGAACATTGTGCTCTTGAGCATTGATATGATTAGCAACAGTTTCAATGTATAACTCAGCCAAAGAGCCTCCCAACAGCAGTCAGGCTGGACTCAAGTGCTAGGCACATTTGAGTCTTCCCAATGCAACGTTATTTCCTTTCAAAAACCAGGAGGTTTCCCTTTAAAAAGACAACCAAATAAACCTCGCTGTCTGGAATACATACCGAATCCTTTGATTTGCTCGTGCTCTCTACCACAACTTTAGCCTTTTTCTCTTTTTTGTTTTTCTTTTTCTTCCCTTTTTTGCTGACTTCCAGTTGAGAAGCTTCACCTTCTTCATCATTACCATCATCTTCCTCAACAGCTGCTTCCTCTTCAACACCTTCTCTATCACTTTCTATTCCTACCACCTCCTCCTCCTCTTCTTCCTCTTCCTCCATTTCACCAGTTGCATCCTCTTCACTGGATCCTTCATCTTCACTGGCTTCTTCCTCCTCACTGCTTTCTTCATCTTCTTCACCATTCTCCTCGTTGTAATCCCCATAATCACTATAATCGCTGTACTCAGCGTCATTATCATCGTCTTCCTCTTCACTCTCCCCTTCTCGTTTCCGCTATATTAAAAGCAAACAAATCTAAAATTAAACTCAACCTTATAACAAGGATTAGGAAGAACAATCAAATCAAAGCGTATGGACCAAAAGAAATCTTCCTTTACAAAAACCAAATGGAGTTAGGAAACACCTGCACAGTCCTTTATACCTACAGCATTTTCTTGATATTCCTATCAAGCTATGAGGGAAGTGATTAAAAGGCTAGAACCAAGGACTCAGCTCCTCGTCAGAGGTGATGCTGCCTGCCCATCATTAACTTCTGTCCTCCCCATTACCAGTCATCCTTCAAATTCTCATTCCTCAGCAATTCCCAATTTGAGGGACAGCCCTCATTCAGGTAACAAGAGCATTTCCTGAAATGCTGCTGTCCTGATTTCCTATTTTTCATACAAGTCCAAAATACTGTTCAACCTAACAATAGTTTAACCATTTGCCTATCTCATATTGACGTTATCTGCGTGACCAGATTCCTGAATATGTTAGACATGCAATGTCTTCCTTAGGTTGGCTGCTCTCTTGTTTAGGCTCCTTTTAATACTGGACTTTTGCTCTGTGAATGACTCCCTCATAACATTAACACTACCAGCTGATCCAACTCTTTTGTATTTTGAGCCTACTTTCTTGTTAAGCTGATAAGCCCCACCCCATTGCTAGTGCTTACAGCCTGGTGCTTCCCAAGTGTGCCCACAGGAGGTTTAAATGAACAGCTAAGAACAGTTCAGTCACCTTCCTTGTCTTTACTGTCTTCATGGGTTCAACTGGGACTGCAACTGGTTCTTTCTTCACAGATGCACTGAAAGAAATGAGGCAGTGTCTTTGAAGCCAAATTCCCTGGTACTTGTCCTTCCCCCCTTCAGTAGCACCTGCAGTCCTTGAGTACCTAGAGATGTTTGGCATGACTGAAGCCACCATCAACACACTGTGATGCTGGACAAAAACAGCTCACCATTTAATTTTGCAGACTGACTCCCTCTAAAGTCACAAGAGGGAGACTAGAAAGGGATAACTGTCTGCTTTATGGGTAACTCAACAAACATTAAATGGCTGTTTCCCCACACTGTCCCTCAATCAACATGCTAAGTAAGAGAACCCACAGTACCCAGTAGTCACTCTGAGCTGAGTCAAGGGAAACTTTACCCAAGTTAGTTCATTTGCTTCATTGGCCCATTTCTATGTGCAGCCCCCAATTTACGATTTAGCCTACTAGTCACCAAAGTTCCCTCAATCAGTGTATATAATGCCTAAGACTAAGTCGGTATATACTACCACCCACATTAGCCAAAGGCTGCTAATCACCTATAGTCAACATAGTCATCCTTCCAAGCTGTAGGCGTGCTGTCATTGGGCTTTCCGTGCTTATCCAGAAGACCTTGCTTGATCATCATCTTCTTTTGACTTGCCTCATGAAGAAACAAAAAGTCAATTTTCACAATTATTTTATTAAAGGAGAAAACAAGCCTAACACAAGCAATTCTGGACTGCTTAAAGGTAGCCAATGTTATGTGAATTTTAAAAATCACATTTTTGTTAGCATCTAACAGATGCTATCTCCTTTGAGTCTCAGAGCAACAGTAAGCAGGGCAGGGGATAGCTAGAAAATAGGCTGAGACACTGTAACCTGTCCACAGTTACAAAGCTACTGACAGACCTCCTGGTACAAAGCACTTTGTACTATACCCTCCTGTCTCTTTTGAAAGAAAAGTGGGACAGCCAGAGAGAATGCTCAGAGTCAAGAGAGGAGGGTCTAGTTTGTGAAACAGTCAGGATGCCTGCCTCACTGGATCAAGGTGTAAGAAGACTGGAAAGGTAGGAGGGGGCTAGGTTATGAAGGGCTTTGAATGGCAAGTGGAGCTTTTTGTATTTGATCCTGGCGGCAAAAGGGAGCCATCAGAGTTTTTTGAGTACTGGAGTGACAAGATTAGACCTGCACTTTAGGAAAATCATTTAAGTAACTGAATGGAGTGGGGAGCAACTTAAGGCAGGCAGATTATCTGCCCCCCCCCCAAGCTATTGCAGTAGTCCAGGAATGAGGAAATGAGGCCTGCACCAGGTCCAGAAGGATGAGGATTGAGAAAAGATGGATTGAATCTGGCAATTAAGAGATCATTGGTAACTTTGGAAAGCAGTTTGGGTAGAATGATGACATAGTTGGAAGCTGGATAGTAGGGTTAAGAAAGTGGAGGCCACCCTTTTTCAAGGAGTCACGCGCCGACAGTTAGCAAGATGGAAAGTGTAGGTTTTGTAGAGATGGATGTGGTAAGATGTGAGCCTGTTTGTAGGCAACACGAAAGGAGCCAGGCAGAGACTGAAGATGTGTGACTCCGAATGGCTGCAGTAACTTTTCTCCAGTATTTAGAGAACTGCCAACAGATCTGGCTAAACATAACCAGAATCTGAAAATACGTTAAGCCAATGTCAAATTCATTCTGAGCCATTAGTAAGTAGTCACTGCCAAGAAAAAGGAGGCACTTCAAAGCAAATACAAATGAAAACCACAGGTTGCCAAAGTTAAATTGGCACAGTGTTGCATTTATATACCTAAAGCTAACATAACAAAGGATTTTTGCCCTTGTGCTATCAGATTCTGGCAACATAGTAACCAATGTAGCCAACACTGTCAGTTAGCCTCTTTCCCTTCAACAAGGGAACAGCTGTGGACACAGCCAAGTTCCTTACAGCTCCTTCCATCTGCTCAGCAAGTATCAAACAGCAACCAATCCTTCATCCAGTCCTAACCCTCCTCAAAGCAACAGATCCCATAAAAAAAGAGAACCAAGAGAAGCCCAAGATAAAAAAGTCTACAAAAGTCTTGGTTATTAAGCAGAGCTTTCAGGGAGTCTACTGCATGTTCATTACAATGGTCAGCACTTATTCCTGTAATGCTTTCCTAAAGAAATCATAATTTTTTTTCAAACCTTGCCATCAAAGGAGTAATATAGCTGTCAGTTTCCCATAATAATGAAAGACAGAAAAGAATGACACTTAAGCCACTGTCAGATTCAACTCACCTTTGGGCCCAAACCCCATTTCCGAGGGTATGTGTCTCTCTCCATGATCACTCTCTTAATCTTGGCCACTATACCATGGTCGCAGGTAGAAATAACTGCTGTAGTCATCAAGGCAATAGCTGCACAAAGTGGAAACAAATAAAGAGAATGAGGGGGAAAGGGGAACACACACTAGATCTATTCACTCCAAAGTTCAATACAGAAAATAAAACTATCCCTTATGGCCTTAAAAACCAGTTTTTATCTTACCATTTCCTTCATCACTTTCTTAGATCTGGACAATCAAAATGATAAATCAAGCCATATGTGCAGTTTGCCTATTTCTGAGGTGTTCACACATTACAGAGCCCTGCAGAGGACACTCAGAGGCAAACCCTCTGTTGATGACACTCAGTTTATATTCAAATGATCACAAACGTGGACACTGTCAAGTAAGCCCAACATCACCAGTACCTAAATTGTAACAGGTTTGACAGAAAGCATTTCCTGAAGCCAAAGTCCATCACTACATTTGATGTTCACTATGAAAACTAGCTTGAAGATGGTAGTATGTGATCAGATTTCCATCTTTCATCTGTAGTTGAAACCTACGCCCACATACACATACACAGTACAACATAGTAAAATGAAGAGGAGCATGGTGGCTACACAGCACAGAACAGAAACCACAACAGAACTCATGAGCTATAGGAATGCCAGCATAACACTCAGAGAATGGGTATATACATTTTTATAATGCTATTTCTGGCTACAAAGAAATCTCTACAAAAACCACTCTATTAACCACTCAATAACTTGTCATGTGGGACAGATACTTTTTCTGGCACTGGTCTTAGCAAAGGAGAGACTGGTCTACTGTTCTGACAAAGATTTATTTCTTATCCTTCAACTCTCCCCAAATCACTGTTACTGAAAACAGTGCTAAGAGCTGGAAAGGGGAAGTTGCCAGGTGCTCTGCTCTTCAGTGGGTAAAGGGAGCCTCACCAGAAGAACAAGTAGGAAGGAAGGCAAAAACAACTCATTGAAAGTGCTACAAGCTTCCAATCCTTTCTTCCCTTCTACTAGACTTCATCAACATAAAGGGAATGTTCACTGTAATTGAAATCTGGTTGAGTTGAGGAGCTGGAAATGGTTTTTAGCTAGCTTTTGCCCAGTTTCCTTGGGACCACTGAAGTTCTTCTATCTCTTACCCACACAAATGGCTTCCCCTTTGGTAGTGATGACTACAACCTCCTGATTGACTTCAATGCCATCCTCATACCGAAGAACCCCAGGAAGCATGATCTTTGCTCCATAACAAATGGCATTAACCTGTAGAAAAGAATCAGGATAAAATGTTAACTGTTTCACTAGTTTTTTTTTTCCCCTTCTGGATCAGATTTCCTAGAGGCAACTCTCCATACCAATGCATATCAACAAATGTTCTGCAACTTCTAGTCTTAGGAGTTTCCCAAGGCATTATCAGCCAGTCAGTATGTGTCAAAAGATGGACTCAAATTCAAGTTTTCTTGGCTCCAAGGCCAGCTCACCTTCTTTCTTGAGTGGACAGTGAAAATCTCCCTCTCTGTTGGAGAACTATGCAACATCTATAGTAATTTATGATCATTTGCTTTTGCACTAAAACTCCATCTATGCAGCCAGTCAAGTTGTGTCATATGTAAAGAGCCCTGGGTTGGCCATCTGAAGACCCAATCTTTTAACTGTGCCATGCAGCTGCCTCCTTTTGGAGTCAGGATTAGGGTTGGAGTTGAAGGGTAGCAGTAACTTCCTCAGAGATCAGGTTAGACCAGATACCTCCCAACTCTCTATGGCCTGAAGATGTCTAGCTTACCTAGCCCCTACGGTTCTAAATGGCCATTTATCTTTAGACCTGGACTTTCCTGGTTTTCTTCCTAACCCCAACTCCCAATTCCTCCTACACAGCTTTCCTCCAAAGTCTGAATCAGTTTTCTGTTGTTTTTTTTTTTCTCCCCCCCAAAACACACGCAATTTCTCTCTAGCCCCTCTACCTACCTTGTAGCCCCATTGCTTCTATAACTTCAACAACTTTCTAACTGGTCTCCTAGACTTGCTTTTAAAAGCAGCCACATGACCTTGAGACTATAAAATCTCTAGTTCAGACTCGTCTTCCAAGCTCTCTTCTAACACATCTACTTTGATCATCCTAAGTTTTAAGCTTCTCTGCTTCCAGGGCCTTCTAATTGAGAAGTTGTGACCAGGGTAAGTGAAGCAGTCAAGTGTGGCATCATATAAGGATAAATGAATAATTATAAGCCCCCAAAGTATACAGCAACACTTCCCTCTCCCCCATCATTGGAAGGTTCCAAATGGAGACTGGGTGACCACTCAGCAGTGATGTCGTAGAAGATAATGTTAGCAGAGGCTTTCTCAACTTGGCATGTGACTCATCAGGCTCCATCCAAAGTACTCATTCAACCAGTCCTTTCTCTGCCATACTCCCTATCTTCTTTTATAGCCCCAGAGAGGTTACTATGTCTTCTCCTCTCTCTACTCATCCTGAAGGCGCTGCACAGTAACTACTACAGGCCCTGCTTCTCTGGTCACTGAGCTCCAACAGAACACAGCCACACAAGAGAACATTTGATTAATCACAGGGAGCATTTATATATACCTTTTTTATGTTTACCAGGCACTTTACATACATCTCAATTTGATTCTCATAACAACCTGGTGAAGTAGGTGTTATTAGCTCTATTTTACAGAGGAGGGAAATAAGGTTAAGAGGTAATGTGCTTTGTCTAGTATACAACCAGTTAAGTGTCTGAAGGAGGTCAGTAATCATGTTTTCCAACATTGTAGGTGATCAAGGCATTCAACACAACCCTCCCCCCCTTAAAAAAATGGTCCTAGGCTTCATTTCTTAATTCTCCTTTGCTATCAACACTTGTTTTTTCCACAAGAGGCAGTGTGGTACAGTGGATAGAGAAGCTGGCCTCAAACTCCAGAAGACCTGAGTTTAAAGCCTACCTCAGCTAGGTGATCCTCACTAAGTTCAGCGTTCTAGGCAACTTTCTCAGACCAAAGTTGCATGCTGCTGGATGGCAAAGAGTTTCATCACCCAGGGAAATCACAGGTCCAGGTCCTGCTGCTTCAATTATGATATGAACTGAAGCAGATTCTGGTTGAGTGGGGAACCACAACAGTTCAAAGGGCAGATTCAGCTACCATAAGATCACCCACTTGTCAGTTAGGGGTTGGATAACGAGATGACCTCTAAAACGGAACATTCCCAAAGATCTGACAAGCACAGAAGCTTAATCAGCTTCCACTAAAGGAAGGTTAGAGAGCTGGAGAGGCTTGGTCAGGGTAACAGCTTTCTGCCTTTTTCTTTTTAAACTAGTTTCCACATCTTTCTCCTTAACTAGTTGTTGTTTCGTTTTGTTTTTCCCCTGCTCCGCTGTGGGTGGTTTGTCTCACACCTCTATAGAGGCCCAGTACCCAGCAGCTCTAACCACAGACAAGTAACACTTTATAAACAGCCTGCTGGGGAAGAAGTGGAACATACCGCACTGTCCTTCATGACCAGCCGTTTGTGGGATGTCAACAGCTTCTCCAGAGGATAAATAACCCGACGAAGGTAACCCTCATCTTTGTAATTGTCATACTGCCACTGAGCATCTAACACATCATGCATGGTCACCATGTGGTCCTGCAAGGAATAAGGTGATGATAAATATGAGCTATGCCTCACCCCCTGGCGAGCTGAATCCAGAAATTCTAGCTTGCCCACTTGTACCATAAGTATTTCATTCACCAAATGTAAAAAAACCTTCACAAATTACAACTGTTGTCATCTCACACACCCACTAAATTCTTTAAGTAATATCTATTTCAAAGACATTTTTTCCACTCTTGAGAACTTTAAAAAACTTACCTATACACACTGTAAAACAGCACAAATCCTCAGTCAAAGTAGCAAAGTATTCTAGGGTAAAGTCCCAGCTGGACCCTGCCCCTGGACTATCACCATAGGACTAACAGGCATCATACACCAGGGAGAATGCCAGGGCACAGGAGGATTGTAGGCTGGGTGACAAAATGGACAGAAGTTCTTTTCCATCCTCATTTCCCCGGCCGTTCTTAATGTTCCAAAGTTAATTAACAGAACAGGGGAGCTTCCCTGTGCTGAACTCAACACTTTGGATATTTAAAACCTTTGAGTGTTTTAAGTGTCTTGGGGGGGGGGGATGAGTGCACATTGAACAGTCCTGTCTAAAATCTGGGAGAAATAAGATTTCTCTAGAACATCTCAATCATACCTTCTCCCCCATAACTCCAGAACGGATCCGGCGAAGCTCTTGCATCTGGCCTCCAACTCCAAGTAACAAACCAACATGGACACATAATGTTCGAATGTATGTTCCAGCCTCACAGCTTACCCAGAAAATACCTAATCCATGGATGAGGAAAACAGAGTTTTAAAAGTCCATAATCCAATGTGTTTGGCTTCCTCACCCTTTTTAAGTCATCTTTGCATCATATGCTGACACCTGTGCCTTTCCTACTATTTCCAATTGCAAATGACCAAGCAAGAGAACTTCAGATAATAGATTCGAAGGAATGATATGGCCCCTCTAATGCTGCTAATAATTTTTTTAAAAACCACAGTCATAGCTGATTTACCTAATCTTTTTTCAGGGTCATATTCTAACATCTTGCTCTCATAGATAGTTCTGACTCGGAGTTGTCGCTTGACAGCAGCAATAAGAGGTGGTCGCTGGAATAGAGCGCCTGTCAAAGTTTCCAATGCCTTAAAAGAAAACACATTTTAAGCATAATACACACCACTAAGACAATACAGAAAATTCCTTTATATTTAAGGGGCAGGACCCAAAAGTGTTAAATCCCTGCATCCAAAAGGCTGATTATAATTTGTAGCATCCTTGAAAAAGGTTAAACTCCTTTCTAAACTTTGAGATATCTGGAGACAATCCCACAAGAACCAAACTTCACACAGAGATCAACAATCTCACATAGCCATTATTAACATCACCCACCTGGAGTATTTTTTCCCATCCCTTCTCAAGCCAAGATGTGCTCTTTAAGCACATTTCAAAGACTCAATTTTAGACTAGAAGTTTAATGACAAGCTTTCTACATGTATTACATTGGGAGAGGAATAATTTCCATTTATTACAGATGGGAGTGGGGGGAAGTATGGGGGCAAAGAAATACCAAGTCACTTGCATAGCAAGTTAAAAGCACCATACTTTCCCTTGAAAGAGTTCTACCTCACCTACACTACACATTCAAAGCTGTATGAGTTCAAATGTTTATCCATATAAATATGCTAAAGGTTTTTTTTTAAACATTGTTTTTCTTAATGACATACTCAATCTTTGCTACTATAATACAGCCATGTCCTGAGAAGCGCCCTACTAGCTCTACATCTCCAAGACAGTTTAAAGCAATCCCCAGTAGCTGTTAGGAGAGCTCGAGGAGGCCCAGGAAGGCCAATTAGAAAAGCTGTGCACTGAGAAAAGACAATGTAGCCATTTGCCTTGTCTGGTGAAATTTAGAGATACAGTTGCAGCACATACAAATTACTCCCAAGTAACAGTGGACAGATGGAGAAATGAAACAAAGCCTAAATTTTATTTATGTTACTGCAGAAGTAAAGCACCAATAAGTGATTAGGCACTGGGCCAAATGAATGGATACTTTGAGGAACCTGCACTTTACTGAAGGAAAAAGAATACAAAGTAATGCAGAGCTCAGGAGAGCTGCCAACAACCTCAGAGGAGCTGAATGCAGTCCAATTCTTATGATCAGAAAAAGGGACTTGCCCCCAATATTTTCCAGTGACAGCAGTTAGTATCCGTGAAACCTTACCCTGGAAAGCTGAACCTCACTTTCAATAGCATTGTGCAGTCGGATAACTCCCACATACTCTTTGCCTGAAAAGAGAAGGACAATGAGGTGAGGAGGTGTGGAGTAGATAACTCCTTTGGGCTGGGCCTGCCTGATGTGCGAAACATCTGAGCACCACCTCTCCCACTTTTGCAAGGGACCCTGGTCTTTAAGGAAACACAACTCAAGTGGTACTTCTGTGAGCTCGCACCAAGTCTACAAGGTTAGAACAACCCTGACCTTTGATTTCACTGATTAGAAAGCCTCAAAACAAACTGACATACCTGCACTCTGCTGAGATTTGACCAATCGGGTAGCTCGTTCTATGCACACAATTAAACAGCCAGTCACCTTCGGATCCAAAGTACCACTGTGGCCCGTCTTCTCAACCCGGAGTATTCGCCGGATCCATGCAACTACCTCATGGGAAGAGGGATTGGAGGGTTTGTCAAGGTTAATGAAACCTGTCCTAGAATGAAAATTTTTTTATAATTAAGATATTAGTATACCACTTCTTTCCCCTTTTCCTAGTATGGCACAAAGCCCCCAAGATTACCACCCAAAAGGTCATCTTACCAAATTTAATTCTACCCACCCCAGTAGTTCACAAATAAAACATCTTTACATGATTTTAAATGCCTATGATTAAATGGCACCAAAGAAAACATTGATTTTAAAATAAATACAAACTAAGAATAAAATTGGTCTAAAATGTAATAAAAACTTAGCAAGAAAGTGATTTGCCATCAATAATTCTTTGATAACTGGGAACAATGGATGGGATAGCTCACCTTGTAGGCTGATTCACATCAATTCTCATAATTCCCCTTTACTTACATAAGCCAGTATTTGGGGGACTTTCAGTTCATCGCATTTTCGCTTTAAAAAAATTGGAGTTTTGTTTCTAAATTCGCCGCATTGTTTGAAAATGCCTTTGTAATTTGCCAAAAAATCATGGAACTATTTTAAAAAAAATTTGGTACCATAACAGCACATCAGGATGACTAGCTATCGTCATATTTTCGTTTCTTCTGTTTTGGTACTTGGACTAGGTTCGTGGAGGTTTGTTTCATCGTCAGTCGGTTATTAACACTTTTTGCTTTCTTGTCTCTTCAAACTTCCCGATTTTACCCAATTATCCTTAATGGGCGTTGGTACAAAAAATGTATTTATAATAAAAAAAAAAAGAATAGAGATGGACAGATTATTTTACACACAGTGCCAAGAACAGACGACAATCAAGGGGATGCATTCAACGACTGATTCTAGACCAAGCAACAAGCTATGTTTTCGGTCGCCCGATCAGTTTCTGACCAATCTCTGCATTGGTAGAATGCACACATTGTGCATGACCAGCACAGAATGCACACATTGTCGATTGGCTTGCTGTGGGTGCTTGTCTGCCACTGCTTTGGTGCTACGAGGAAAATCTCAGTATAACAAACTCCACTTGACCAAATTACTCATAAGGAAACTTGTTTTGTCATTTGGAGAGAACTTTCCTAGGTGCTATGTGATTAACTCTTACCAGGAGTCCAAGGGCTATGAACCCTAACATCAGAGAAGTGTGCGTGTGCATCCTCCCCCTGCCCCTCCCCCTCCCTGGCCTTGTTATGTCAGGGTGTTGCCTATGGATGAACAGGTGTGTTTGGCAATGTTTCAGGTGCACAGAGATGAGAATCACCACAGGGTAATTGCTGCTCAGTGGGAAGCACAAGAGTTGTGAAGCTCACTGCACACAGCTCCCCTCTCTCCCTCTCTTCCTGAAGTAATAACAGCATATAAACAGGTACATTTACTGAGCAACTGATCCCCAATCAGAGACTGGAGAAACAATGTCGTACCTGCTGTTTAAGCAGAATTCCTTGCCACCATATTGATTCAGGTGTCATGCCACAGGCAGTCTGCATGGACATACTTCTGTTATACAGAACCTTGTCACGCCTCCATGCTCCACCCCACCCCCCCCAACAGGAAGGATGATATTGCTTCAAATATGTGACTTATTTTAATGGTTTTAATAGAAGACCAAGGATAGTATACAGAAGGTTTGAACTGAAGGGTAATGAAAAGTCACTATTGGCAAAATGGCTTACCTGATATAGTCTGTAATTTCTCTCTTGAGAGGGTTAGATCCAGAAGGGAGGGGAGTATAGTGGGTTGTCCTTACATTTAGTTTATCAAAGTTCTAAAAAGCGATGACAGGACACAAATCAAACTCAATTAAGAAGTAAATTCTCAATTTTGATTGACCCTTTTCTAGACCAAATAAGACCAACTGGTTCCACACAAGAAAATCCAATGAATAAACAAAGCCACCAAAGTCTAAACCAGGAAGTGACAACCAAAATCATTTTTCTGAGCTATCACACTGCAGATATCCTGCTGTGGACCTCTCGAATGGACTTGATTTGGTTTGAGAACTTTATATATTTCTGCTTGTGCACTGTGGTATCTATCAGATATTTAGGTTTCAAAATTCTAACATTCTTACCTATAATACTGATTTCCAACCTTAGTTGGCACCATTTTGAAATTAAAAATAATGTACCAGACAATTTAAATGAAATGCTTTAAATAACTGACACAACTTGTGCTATTTGATTGATGGGGGGGGGAGGAAGGGAAGGGTGATTGTACATTGTCAAAATTATGCTGCCCTCCACAGAGAATGCAGATATGGGTATAGCCTCTTTGGGCAGACTTTATGAACAAATCAGTACAAGGAACATATACAAGATATGAAAAAGTGGCAACATATACAAAAAGTATCTAGTATTAAACAGGACTTTTTTCATAAAATGCACAAACCACATTTGTCTTGCACTAGAATCTACAGGTATACAGAAAAGGAACCCAGTTTACAAAATTAACTGAAGTTTAGAATGTGCACAAGACTGATTTAATAAGTTAAAACACAACCAATATAAAATCACAAGGCAATTATTTGATGTATAATATTTCTATTCCTTACCTTTAGCAGTAAGGGCCACTGAGATGTGTCCAATTGAATTACTTTAGATTCAGGTTTGATGAAGAATTCCCCTTCATGCTGTAGATCCTAAAGTGGAATAGAAAAGACCAACAATTACCCCTATTTTACCTTAAAATGGTACATAGAACCAAGCAGGAACAGAAAGAAAAAAATGAGAAGTGCTGGCCAGGTGTGTTCCAATACTCCAGAGAAAAGAGAGAAAGGATTGCAGAGTGACTCTGAGGGAGGCCATTTGGTTTGCAAAACAGTATTTTGTGAATGCTGTCTTGGAGTCTTGAGAGTGGGCCAGAGGAATGACTACTTACTAGAATCCAAACCTGGGTGCTACTAGCTCAAGGAGCACACCATTCTGTTCTTTATATTCTAAACATGGCAAAGTTCTAAAGTTAACAAGAATAAATGGCAAATTACAGATATTGGCAAGGAAAAAGCATTTTCTACTTACAGCTACATCATCTTCTCCTAATATTTTGCGCTCCTTTTTTTTCTTGTGCTTCTTTGACACAATGACAACTTTAAATGAAAAAGGAAAAAAAATTGACAGTGAATTTGAGGCACTGAAGGGGCTCAGGCTCATGCAGTGAGAGATTGGGCTTCTTCCCAAGGACACCCCGCTAAAGTACTCACTGGGGTTTGGCCCGCCCGCACGTGGTCCCTTCCCCTCGGGGCCACCACGTGGCTGCAGTGGGCCGGTCGCATAGCGCTCTAAAGGGGAAGCCCGAGCAGCAGCAGGGGCTGTAGCCGCACCACCAGCAGTCCCACTGGGGCCCACGGGGAGACCCGCTGCTAGAGGGCAGCTTCCAGGGGCGCTCAGGCCATCCTGTCTGTCCCCTGAGCCCACAGCCTGCCCCACCGGGCCTTCTCCCCCTCCCCGATCGGCCAGCTCCGCTGGACCCCTGCGGTCGACTGCCTGCCCCTCTGGCGCCCAGGCCGGCCTGCCTCCCCAGCCCCGGGGTCCGCATGCGCCAGCCACCGCCTCCTCTCTATTAATGACAGTCAAAGTAACAAGATGTAATCCAGGCAGCCGCTGCCGCCTCCCTGTGGCTCGAACCGAGCCGGGCTGCCAAGCGCGGCGCTTCAGGCGCCCGTCCGTCAGCGTAAAGGGTCGGTGAGGCCCAGGACGGGCGAGCGGCTCCAGGTAAATGGGGGCCAAGCCGAACCGAACCACGTCGGAGCTGCTAGTGCCCGGGCGGTGGCCCCGGGCCCTCCTCAAGCGCGCGGCCCGGCCGGACTCGGCCGCGCGCCAAGCTCAGGCCCTGCCCCCGGCCAATGGCACTCCGCCCGAGCTCCCCATACGCGCCGGGCCCTATGTGACCCGCTCTCGCACGGAAGCCAACGACGCCCGGGTCCGGAAGGCCTCAACGGCTCCTCCCGCCCCGCAGCGGTGCGGGGACTCTTTCTTACCGTCGCCGTCCGCCATGTTGGTGACCACAACTAGGGGCTTCCAGCCCGCGTGCTCTAGCCCGGCGCTGAGGGGAACGACTGAAGGCAACCCGCCGCCGTCCCGTGAGGCAGTGCGGGCCAACAACCGGCGGCCCCCCCCCCCGTCCCCCACTCCGCTTTAGCGTCAGGCTGACGCGTGACGTTTCAGGGCGCGTGCCGGCAGACCAGAGGCTGAAGGCGGTGCCCCGGCGCAGCACTCGCGCGCCTGATTGGCCACCAGAGCGGAGGCGGGCTCGCGGGCACAGGGCGCGCGCCAGGGAGAGCGATGGGCGGTTAAGCGCTCGCCGCGCTCGCTCTGGCTCTGACGCAGTAGCCATCGATCTGAAGCGCCCCATCCCCTCCCCCCCCAAGCCCGGCCGGGTGGGCCAGTGTGACCCTGGCCTAGTCACTTTACGTCTCTGTGCCTCAGTTTCCTGAGCTATAAAATGACAGGCCTCACCGCTTGGCTCTCGTTCTTATGAGCTTGCCTAGTAAGTTGATCCGATATCCGGAAGGCCTGGCATCCGGCCCTGTCCCCTGCCAGCCTCTGGCTCCAGACTTCCAGGCTGGGCGTCCAGCCCTGTGTGACAGCCTTTCCCCTCCCCTCCCTGGCCACTCTCAGGGACCCCGCAGGCCCGACAGATGCTGCTGATCTACACTGGGAGAGGATGTTTCCTCGGGGGGAGTGATGGAATCAGAGCTCCAACCCACTCCTCACCCCAATTTAGTTGCCATTAGCCTTTTTTTTTAGGCTCCTGCTATATGCTTGTGCTAGGAATATAAAGGCAAAAAACGAAACCTTGCTTATTCTCAAGGAGTTTAGATTCTCCCAAATTCCAAAAAAGAAACAAATGACTAAATATAAAATAATTGGAGGGGGAGAGAGCACTTTCGGTTGGGCTTCACAGAGGAGGGGGCACCTGAACTGTGCCTTGATGTCCCACACTTCAGACATGGGGAGGTGAAACCTGTGGCCTGAACAATGAAGTCAGTGGGGTGGCACATCATTTATAGGAAACAACCAAGAGTACAGTTGGGCTAGAATGGGAATAATGTGAAACAAGACTAGAAAGATAGCTTGGAGCCAGATTATGGAGGATCTTAGCCAGGCCAAGGGGTTTGAATTTTGTTCTAGAGGCAACGGCAAGTCACTGATGGATTTTGAAAAGATGAGTGATATAGCCAATTCTGTGCTTTAGGAAGATTATTTAGGGAGTTTTATGAAGAAGGGTGGATTGGAATAGGAAGAGACCACTTAAAAGACTGCTGAAATATGTAGTTCAAGGAAGAGGTGAGGGTCTGGACTAGGTTTTGGGGCATATGAATGAAGCAAAAGAGACAAATGCAAGAGATGGTGGGAAGCTAGAATTGACAGGACTTGATCATAGATTAGAAATTGATGGGAAAGGGGTATGAGAGATCAGGAAAAATCTAAGATAACTACAAAATTTGGAACCTAGTTAAATGGGAAGACAATGAACAGAAATGGGGAAAGCAGATGAAAACATCTGTTAGGGAATTGGAGATGTGCAACTTAAATTCAGAGAAGAGATTAGACCTAGATATATAGATTTGGGAGGCACCCATGTACAGATGATAAAGTCAGAAGATTGGATGAGATCTTCAAAAGACAGTATAGAGAGAAAAGAGAAGTAGGCCCAGGACAGAGCCTGGTAGTGAGGCTGGGGAATTAATGACACAGAGCTGGGAATTAAATGAAAGGGGCAGGAGGAAGAGACATTGTAAAGAAAAGGTTGGTGGGGGTATAGAAATTCACTGGCAAGAAGGTCAAAGGTACAGAAGAAAAAAGACAAAGATATAGCTGAGGTCTTGGGTGAGGGGAGGTGCTTTTGAGGTTAAAAGAGAAACTTTTGGTCAAGACCAATCTACTTAATTTCTCCTTAGCTTTAACCCCATAAATCCTCCAGCAGAAACAATAACTTCTGAGACTGTCCCAGGTTACATGGTACTTACATGCTATCTCTCTTCAGAAGCACAGGGAGTTTTTGGACTTATAACTGGCAGAGCATATCACATAAGGAAGCAAAAATACTCTTATCTCCAAACCTCTGAATTCTAGATTTAACTGTTCAAACCCCAGCCTTCTCTCTGTTAAATGAGAACTCACAAGTCTTTATCACTCCAAGAACAAACACAGTGAAGCAGTTGGTACAAAATACTATGTAGCCCTATTTTATAGAGAAACAATATCATTCAGAAAGCTAACAAATTAAAGTGTCAGATTTCCTGATTCCAAGCCCTTCTGGCTTTCCACCATACCACGTGGCCTGCCTCTCATAGTTCTACAGAGAACAGCAACTCAGTATTCAACATATTGCTTATTCTGATTTGGATTGGTTTCAGAGTAACATTTCCTGCCTAGATTGTTTACAAGAATAGTAGTATGTCTAGCTTCCCAGAAAAGCCCCCAAATCACTTCAGCAAACATTTACAAAGCACCTAGTATGTGCTAGGAACTCAAGCAAGCCCTGTACCTTAAGGTATTAAGGCTTCAGGGTGGCCTCTTGGAATCATTAGTTCCTCTTAGAACTAAATCCCTGAAACTGTGCCTTTCTCTCTCCATGCTTGAACTCTGTACATTTTCACAGTACAACAAGGAAACTGTTCTGTTTCGTCTGTGTGT